AATAGTCTGTGTTGCAGATGAAGCACACCAACTGGCCCGCTGTCCATGACATTCCTGAATACCACAATACGTGATTGTCACTGTATATATGTGTGTGTGCGTGTGCGTGTGTGTGCGTGCGTGCGTGCGTGTGTGTGTGTCGAGTGTGTCCCAACAAACACAAGCAGACAATGCCCCATCCATATGTGAGACGTGTGTGACATGATCAAACAATGTTTTTCTAATTGTGCCAAAGAAAGGGTTGAGTGTTTCCTATACCACACAGATGCCACACTATGTAACAATACGTTTATTGTGTGTTAAAAGACTCAATAACAAGTGAAAGTCCTCCAGAGATATCTTTGAATAAATGTGAAATTCTGAGCAAATGGCGAAATACTTCAAAATTCAGATTAGGTACAGTATATCAGGAAATGTACAAAACAAACTTTCATCACTTGTTCAGGTTCTGATTCTTTTTTATAAAAGGTAAGCAGCAATGCCGCTCCTCTAAAGCTTTTACAATAGCAACATAGATAACATTTTTTCAAAGATAAAGAGCCTGGCTCCTTTGAACCACTGCCCACATGGTTTGAAAATTACATTACATGTCATTTGTTAGACGCTTCTATCCAAAGCAACTTTTACTGTACATTCAGTACTGTGGACAATCCCCACAGGAGTAATTTGTTTCTTGCTCAGGGTCACAACTACATGCTGACTGCAGTGGGACTCGAACTTGCTACCCCCTGATTCGAAGTCCAGCACTCTACCCACTGAGCCAAAGCCAAAATGTGTTATGATAATGATCTATGTTGTTGGATGTTGTCAATCTGTATCAGTGATGATTCAAAAGAGAGAAGAAAGAAAAGGAAATCCACCGAACTTCGGCCTCCATATTTAGAACAAAGACTCACTTCCTGTCAGCAGGAGAGGTGGCTGGTAGCTTCCTCCTTTACAAAGAACAGTGGCTGTGGACAACCCTTCAAGTTGCCATTTTGAGGTGTAAAATCACTTTATCCTGCATGAAACACTGGTAGGAGGTTACACCCACAGTCACCTATACTCATGAAAGGGTTCCTGTGAGGATATAGTCTGCTCAATGAAACTCCAAACAGGCCTTTTTGATTTGTCCTAGAAAAATCAGGTGTTACTTAAAACATTGACAATGTCATCGTTATAACCCAGACAGTCAAGACAGTTTGACAATGTTTGGCTGGTAATTGAGCTATTATTTTTAAATTATTTACACTTTTCCTACAGGGACCTGTGCTATGTGTAAACGTTTGACACGAAGAAGACAGGAAGGACTTGAAGTAGAGCTCTACCTCATGGGTCTGAGGCTGACAAATGTCCTGACGTGAACTCATCCCTCTGCAGTCGTCTAGACCCCGTCAGCATCCCAGTTTTATGGTCTCTCCCTCTCATGTGCAGCGAGAACATTCCTGCTATTGCATGCACGTTATCCAGATAATGTTAACGAAACTGTGCAAATGTGTTTTGGTCACTGCTGAAACAGATCTTAAAGATTAAAAACGAGTGAAGACAAAGACGTCTTGTTGAAATTTGTGTCAAAAATGGTGACAAATAAATGCTGAGTTTGCATTCTTCTTTCATTTCTACTTGCAGTTGTTGCTTCACATCTCCCCAAGAAAATCAGAATACCAGATGCAGAGCAGCTATTTCAAGTTCCTGTTTTATGAGTCAATCTTTTACCGTACAGACATTATTAAGACATTACTGGGGGGAGTTTGCCACGGACACTGCCCGTACATGCTATAACACATGTAGAGGCAGTGTCAAGAAAGCAGCAGAACAACGAGACAGGACTTTCTGAAATGGAAAACCTCCATTTATCTTCATGCGTTAAGTCATGTTAAATGACCATAAGTGTAATTCCAGTCGGCGACACAAGAGAGGCCCTCGCTCTGCCCTCCATACCACAGACTGCAGGGAGACGCCAACACACAGGGGGAAGGGGGGGGTGGCAGGAAGAGGGAATTTTAATGCACACTCTTAACCCCTCACACACGCACACACACACATACACACACACACACACACACACACACACACACACACACACACACACACACACACACACACACACACACACACACACACACACACACACACACACACACACACACACACACACACACACACACACACACACACACACACACACATACACACACACATACACACACACACACACACACACACACACATACACACACACACACATACACACACACACACACACACACACACACACACACACACACACACATACACATACACACACACTCAAGCACATATATCACATTAACGTTTACAATTTAAGCTTTCTGCTGACGCCCTCATTCACACAGCTTCCTGGAAAGAGAGCAAGTATGGCATTCGTGTCGGACTAAAAGTGATCTTTTAAGTGTGAAACACCGACACCCAGCTGGATGTAGGATTTCAACATGTCCTCAAAGAGTTGTAGTTTCGAGTGACTCATGAGGAACACCAGCTGTGATCTGATTTAAGTGTATTGGCTGCAATAGGGACAAGTTTAGATTGCAGTAAAGGGGAAAACATAAAAACAATCCACCTTCTGCTGCTCATCCTCACACCATTTCTCCTTCTCTCTATAACAGGTTATACCGATACTGTGTGTTTACCTAAAATAGCATATAACATATAAATCCTTTACAATAGTTATTTTATGTCAAGAGTAAGATAAGAAGATAGAGAAGCCTTATTTTGAAATCCATCTGGAGTTAGAGAATTGTATTGGGTCAACAAATCTGAACTCTTGCATTTACAATCTACTCGATTCATGAATTATAATATTACAAGCTTTGGTGGTTACATTTTTCTAAAGTAAAGACATCTGACCTTCCACAGTCTTTCCACGTCTTCTCCTGAGAACCACCCACAGCTCTTCAGACGAGCTAATCTGACATGGTCTGGTGGTCCAGCTGCTGTGTTTTGGAAAACCAGTCTAGTGCAGGGGTCAGACCCTCATCATCTCTGATGTTTGTTTACATATTCCCACATGGCCACCAGGGACGGCCAGTGTTCATTTAAAAATTCAACCGTGGGAAGAGACAGAAGGAGAGTGAGACAGTGACACTGATACTCTTTGACCCTTGGTCTGAGATGCATGGTGTTTAATTGCAACGTCCTTGATTTGATTTTGGCCGGCGGGGACATTTGCTGATGAAACCCTGTCTCTCTCTGAACTCATCTTTCCCCGATTCTCTTTGCACTCTGTCAGAGAGCTAAATTGACCCCCAACAAATCTAAGATATTAGGCCAAATCGTGGCTGTTACAACCACACCAAAAACCGAAACGAAAAACCTTTGATCAGACAGATAAATTGGAGGTGTAAGAATCGATAGCCTTTGAACGATCACGCTGAGTCTGATCTCTTTTCTCTGTCCAAAGACTTCGCTCCAGTATTGATTTGTGCACATAAAAGACATCAATAGTCAGTTGCACTTCTGACTCTTTCAAACAACAGACTGCTCTCTTTCTGGAAGATATACAACAAGCTTGAGTGGGAGCAGAAACTTGGTTTAATCGTATATGTGGTTTAATTAGACCCACAAGTGCCTCGAAACTGTCAGCAATCAATGTGTGCGCCATCTGAGATTATACATTTAAGATAAATATGTATCTTTTCAGGGATAATTGTTTTCTTTCAAATAGAAAAAATACAGCAAAACAATTGGATTAGATCTATATTCAAGTAATGTTTCTCAATGATTAAAGCAGTTTTCTAGCCAACTACTTGTTTCAGAGATAACATTTCCCCAATGTATGGTAAAACTGATAGACAAACCAAGATGTGGGCTATGTACTGTGTCCTGTGTTTGTATGGAGCTATGGAGTCCTCTTTGCAGCTCTCTTGTGCCTCTCTGTGGCCACATACATTTATACAACTTTTCACCAAACTACTCTGGATTTATAGGTCCCATGTCATGGCCATTTCTACTGATCATAATTCCATTGTTGAGGTCTACTAGAATAGATTTACATTGTTCAATGTTCCAAAATCACATTGGTTTCTCATACAGCATCTCTGTATAGTATATATTCACTTGTCCTACACGCCTTGTTGGAGCTCCT